TACAATAAGCGAACTGTTGCACCACTAGTCCTTCAGCAAGAGTTTATGACCTTGCAAGCTAAGTATAAGGACCATGCACAATTCTTCACTGATGGTGCAAAAACTCCACACTTTGTCGGTTCGGCTGTATATTCAGAACACTTTGTAAAAGCTCGACGGCTTCACTCTGTTGCCAGCATTTTTACTGCAGAACTTTATGGTGTGCTCATGGTCATCGAATATATATTGGGCAACAACATCAGGAAAGCTATCTTGTTTGTGGACTCCCAGAGTGCTATCGTCTCTCTCTGTTCCCTCAATGATTCTAAGAATCGGCTCGTGCAACAAGTACGGGTAGAGTTAAACCTGGCTTCCCAAATGGGATACAATATCAAGCTGTGCTGGGTACCAAGCCATGTGGGAATTTCAGGTAATGAGAAGGCGGATAGGCTGGCAGCGTCTGTTAAGGATGCTCTGAAAACACCCGTTCAGCTGCCTCAAGAAGATTTTAAACCAGTTCTTAAAAAAGCAATTCATAATGCCTGGCAGCAAGACTGGGACAAAGAAATAAATAATAAGCTACATGTCATCAAACCACGTTTGGAGGTATGGGAGAGTTCGCACCATAGAGACCGTCACCATGAAGTTTTAATGTGTCGTTTGAGAATTGGACATTCACGTGTCACCCATCGACACCTTCTTTGTGGTGAGGACGCCCCAGTCTGTGAGCATTGCGGTGAATTGCTAACAATGCTGCATATTCTATGGCACTGCAAATTCTTTGATCAAGAACGTCGAACAAGTTTCCCTGCACTTTCTGGATACCTTCCATTTCATCCAGCCTTTTTACTGGGAGATCAACCTTTAGTTCCTTTTGGTCATATTTTAGATTTTCTTAAAAGAACTGGCTACCTGCACCAGTTATAGATCATCTGCATAGTAATTCCTTCCTTTTACTATAGAGTCTTTTAACTATTCCTTTGGCGCAGCATGGCCTATGTTGCTTTTGCGCCATTAAACACCTAATAATCAATCAATCTTGACCGCAAAACAAGCCGTGACGTACGATGTTTCCGGAACCGGAAGTTCTCTCTGCAGTAGGAGATGGGAGCGTTAGCGAGTTGGGGTGCGCCGGTGGGTTTTACTGCGCCGATGTCACCGACGTATTTTCTGAATCGGCGCCTCTCATCGCCGCATCGCAGCTGAACGAAATTCAATGAGATACGTTGCGCTACAGCGACAGCATGGGACTAGTCCCATACGCCGGTATGCCTGTTGGGAAGTGCAGATGGGAACAATTTGCCGCGGCGTTTTTCGCGGTCTCGGAGATGCAGGAGCGAGCCGACGTTAAAAAAGATACGTTTGAACTGTCAGCAAGAGCCACGTAAATACCTGTTCACACTCGGAGCGGACGCGCGCGTTTGATGAAGTGCTGTATTCGCGCTGTTGGTAAGCGCTTCGGGACCGATCTTTTACAATTGCAACTCGATACTGACGCGACACTCGGCAAAGAAAGGTTGGACCGGTATTGCACGTATACCTCCCACGAACTGTTACAGCTCGACAGTGACGTGCAGTCTGTCAGAATAAAAATGGCATACCAATAACAAAGTGTACATACCGTGCTACGAAGGTAATCCATACAGCGTTTATTTCAGCTCTATATCACACAAAACAAGGAGAGGATCGACGAGGGTCCCTTTTCGACGAGTGTTCGTCAACACTGCCTCGGAAAACAAGGGGAAGAGATTGACCTCACCTCTTAACCTAAAATTGAGGTCAGCGATCAAACTATAATACGGAAGGGTCCAGAAGGGTAGCGCGGGCATATTCCATTCAGTACGCCAGCCGGTCGTAGGCAGACGGTCTTGCGACGAAGCAACGCTGCGCCGAGTCGGAGTGCCTGCTAGGCCTATATTCTGAGAGTTTCGTCGGAGCGGGATTCGCGGCTGTTGTCGCTCTTCTCGGGTGTTTGTGGATCCAGCGTTCTTGTTCGTCGTGGTTTGTTTTAAGTACATTTCTTTCTTGCTGCTTGAAGTCGGCACGCGCGAGATGAACACGTAGAAAAATAAACGTTCAGTCAGTCAGAGTTTTGAGAGGAAGGAAACCAAAGGAAATAACCGTTCTGAACTTGGCCCTGCCCTACTGCGCACGCGCAGTAGTTGCTTCGTTTACCACACGATAGATGGCGCTTGGCTCTCAGCATTATCAAATTTGGCAATTTTCGCCACACATCTCTAATTATGCTACAAAATGTGGATCTGAATATTATTTAACAAAACTTTTAGGAAACATTCGCCGGCTATTTATTGTTTACGATCGCGGTGCTGGTGAGGTAGGCTCTTACCCAATAGGCGATGTGGATTCGGCTGACGTGCACCGATTCTGCGTATGCATCGTAGTGAAAAGGCAGAGCTTTCGAAGGAAAGAAGTCGCAAAAGAGTCCAGTTTTCTTTTAAAAGTTCTATAGCAAATAATTTTTTTTGGCTCCCTAGTCTTGTGTTTTTGTGTTCCTTTTCACACCTTTTACGACGTGCGGTGGATGAAATTAGATTTTAAAATCATTTCATGGTCCCTTTAAAGATGAAAGCGAAAAAGTACACACAAAAAGACTCCACCGAGATGGAGAATTAATTCTATAATAAAAAAGCGGTGCTTCGAGACGGAGTGTGCACTACTCCATTTTGTTTCTTTTTAAATCTGTTCCCAGTCTCGTTTTTTTTTTTTCTTAATGATAGAGCAACTCAATCACGAGAGACAACCACCTTTACATCGTGCTTTCCCTAATTGTAATAAACAATCTTCCCGTTTATCTTTCAGTCAACGCTTTTGAACGAAATTCGAATTATGTACCGGGACAAATGTCATTTTTGACATTCGAACTGAAGTCAGATGTTTCCTACGTGCCCATCATGACAATACTTCAAAGTTGGTGTTTAGAACAACGGCTAGAAATCTCTAAATCATCGCAACAGCGGGAGCGAGGGTTTTTAATGGGCAAAATTGCGTCGTAATTTCTCTTACGCGTTGGCAGTGACATCTTCCCTTCTTCGGCGTCTTGACACCCTTTTCAAGTTTCAGAAACACTCAGAAGACTGCAGACAAACAAAAATCGCATGGCTTAGTCAACCCGTCAAATGGCTTCCGCGCATGACAAAGACAATTGATGAGGCGGCAAATAACTGAAGGAACTAAACGTTTCATGGAGCGAATTTGTGCCAAAAACAAAATAAAAAGGTTAGCATTCGAGGCTTCGATGTCGGCGAAACAGCAGGATCGAGCGCTGGAGCGAGACTGACTCCGGCTTTCCACGCGGCGCTCCTTACGTACTATCACGACCAATACGAGTGCGAACACCGCTCCGCGTGGCCCGCGTAGGATAACTGTCGCAAGCCGGAGTCAGTCTCGCTCCTGCGCTCGATCCTGCTGTTTCGCCGACATCGAAGCCTCGAATGCTAACTTTTTTTTATTTATTTTTTTTGGCACGATTTTGGCTTATTAAACATTTAGTTCGTTTTGTAAATTTGCCGCCTCATCATTTGTCGTCGTCATGCGCGAAAACCATTTGACGGGATGACTAAGCTCTGCTTGCACGGCCAGAGTATAAGCGTTCCTTTTCCTTGCGGCCGCCAACTTCGTATTGGCGGAGAAGCGGTCACCTGGGCCGAACTGGATGTAAATTTCATGAGGGAAAACAACCTTGCAGGCGCCGAGTTTCAGGCGGAGCATGTTTCTCGCTTTGCGTTTGCGAAAAACACATCCTACACTAAAATAGAACGAACTGGAAGGTTTCTTGACCATCGAACATTATGTGTATCCAGTCGGCACAGTATAATCGCGTTGTTTTGTAACGCGAGAGATGTTTTAAAACATGTTACGAAAGTCTGGGATGCAGATGACATGGAGGACGATAGCGTGGCTGTGTCGGCATAATCCCCCCCCCCCCCCCCCCAATATTTGAATGCAGCGCAGCGCATAGTTGGAACCCGAGCATTACGTGAGCCAGCACTCGATTTCAACTCGTGATGATCAATCGCTAGAGACAAGCCTTCGGGTAGTGGATCGTGTCTAATCCCTGCAATGACGACCATAGTCGAATCCTAACAATGTCTGGAACTCAACACGCGTTCTGTGCTAAGCCAACTCGAGCGCGTGGCTATCACGTTTCTGCTTGTTCTGGCTGCGAGATAAGGGGGCCTAGGGTGCTTGTTTTTTGTTGCTTTTTTTCCCGCGACTACGATCCCAAGCGGGGAGAAAAAGAAACGCACTTCTCACATGTAATGAGTATCATTAATTTATTCTAAGCGGTATTCACGCAAAGTACAAAAATTGTTGTAACGCCCCTTTAAGCATGCATAAGGCCCACACCGATAAACAAATAACGACCATAGTGTGTACGCCATACTGTGTACACGCACCTTGATCGTGCCTCAAAGACGAGTGCGGTTTCGGCGTTAGGCGCGTACTCGGGTAGTAATCCATTCGACAGACGCACTACGGAAGTCTTTTGGAGTGATCTTAGATTCAGTCATACATGGTTCGCGCAGGAAGTTAAGTCCAGAATATGGCGGCCTCCAGTGTTCCCCGATGGACTTTTAAAAAAAAAAAAAAAAAAGTTCAGCCTTTTCACTTTGGTGAGGAAGGAAGAGCAGCGGAGCTGTAGCTTCTCTTCTCGGCTCCGACTTTCGAGGCGAGCGATCTGCTCTTCTTTCGCAAGGGAATCCGAAGCGCTCGACGCAGTGGAACTTAAGCGGATAGCGGCTTCATGGCGGTTGCGGAACCATTCGCGCTGCTCCACACATCGCCGCTCGTTCCGCTCCCGCTCTTTTTCCTCCGAAGAGACGTTGCCGCCATCTATGAGCGACGGCGGCAACCAGTTGTCTGGTAGCCGCCGTCGCTCATAGATGGCGGTAGCTGCCCAAAGTTTCGTGTCATCATTTCTAGTCCGGCGGACACGATTTCGGGGAAACTAGCCCTCAACAGCTCTCCTGTGAAAAGTGTTTATGGTTCTTACTCTGCAGGGTGCAGCTACCAGGCATCTGACAGGATACCTGGTCACGCTTTTCTTGACGTCGTGCCTGCTGCTCTGCATTCGCACGTGTTGGCGATGGGGCCACAAGAAAGGGGGCGCGACCCTGCCCCCGGGACCTTGGGGGATTCCGTTGCTGGGGAACCTGGCTATACTGAGGAAGGATTTCCATCGCAAGCAGGGCATCGAATGGGCCAAGAAGTACGGGCCCGTATTCCGGTGAGTGGCAAAGAAAGCGCAGAGTCGATGGTCCCCGTCCTGGCGACGGGATGTGTGACGAACACCTGTGTCAGGGAGGGCTGGCTCACAGAGGCACGATCTTCCGTGAAACGGCAGGAAATAAACCTTCAGTTACGAGACAGTGTTTGTCTTGTATCGCTTACTTCGTTCCCTTCGTCCGTGTTCTTGGCGCTGTTTAAACCAAATCATCGATATTCAACAAATCAAGAAACTAGCATCGTTATAAAATCAATGGTAAACGAGCGAATCAATAATTAAAAAATATAAATGTATCAGGGAATAAATTCGCGAATCAGTAAGATTAAAAAGATAAAAAAAGAATACATACGTGAATAGGTGAGGCAATACATTTCCGAAATTCAGTGCCATCTGGTGGTTTGAATAGCAGTTTAAATTTTGCCATACCATTGACGGAATTGAACTTGCATTTTATCGGGCAACGTCACCTTCGCAAGTCAACGGCGCGCGAGGAATCGTTCAATGTGAGTTCTTTCTCGGTCACTTTCAGTTCGATGGTGACCAAGAACTTGCGCAGTGAGAACAAAGCTACAACCCACATAGACGCCTCGGTAAATTTCTATACACCAAAAGGCTTTAAAGCAGATTGTGTGTCACCCACAGATTGACCGAACCTGAGCTAAAAATAAACGCTTACGTAGCTCCTCTGTTCCATTCGTACGTGACGTCGTACTAATCCCCCGAACGTACAGGCGTCGCATCACCCGCTAAGGAGCATCTTCAACGTATTCCTTTATCAGTCACTAGAAGGCCGCCATTGTTACGGCACATATGCCGTTTCACAGATGATAATAGTGATCAAAGTGACCAGACTGAATTTTAGAAAGGGTCTCATATTAAAGGAAATATTGAATGAAACTTGTTGGTTTTTGTAGACTTGTTGCGTGGCCGACTTGCATCATTTGCCCCTGAAACTTTCTCGAATTGCGGGCTGTTGTGTTCACGCGTCCACGGTGATCATACACTCCGGTCATATTCTTCCAGGATCAGAATTGGCGTGCGAAACATCGTTCTGGTGAGCGACTTTGAATTGATAAAAGAGATACTGTGCAAGAAGGAGTGCCTCTTCCGTCCGCAGAGATGGGTGTTCAAGCACATTGGAGGTTCGTCGTTCTTTCGTTTCTTCATTGACGTACCGAGTTAGTCAGATCAATCGTTGGATGGTCGAAAAAACCGTGTAAATCGGTGTCGGAGCATATCTCGCTAGGGTTTGCCAAAAAGGTGTCAAGTTTGGAAACCTTGTGTATCGGAATTTAAGAGAAAACGACTTACCCGAGTGAAAAGCTACAACTAAAAACTTTGAAATTTGTACCCACGGCGTCCGTCTGCTAAAGATAGTTTCCCGATAGCCGAAACAGCCGATAGATGGCTTGAATACATCAACAGTCAACACATCTATTCCTTTCTCACATTATTTTAGTTTTTCATGTCTTTTGTCACCAAAAACCATTCACAAAACTTAAGAGCGTATCAGTACTGGTTTTGCGAATGGTCTGCTATTGCAGAAATCGAGCGAAGCGCCCGTCTTAGCCGCCTCCAATCTTACGTGTCGCCATCTGTTAGTTGTTAAGCCAGCCAGACACAGTTCGCTAGCAAACGGACACCGTAAGTAAAAATTTCAAATTCTTGATTTATATACATTTTTCGAAGTAACTTTTTTCAGTGAATTTTTTTGATGCACGAAATTCCCCCTCTTCAGGCACCCCTGTAGTAAATCCTAGCGCGATGCGTTTAAAAATGTCTACTGTCTTTTTAAACAGCCAGCGATCCATTTCCACTGGTATAGGCTAGATCTCGGTTAATATAATCTCAGCTCATGGCATCTTCTTTCCCGAGAAGGCTGTGCAGCTAAAAAGTGGGGCATGCTTTTAGGTTTTCCTTTACAACTCTACATTTTGAGTGGTAGGTTGCCAACGGAATGCACAAAAGGCGCATACCGCATTTCCCGCACCATGCATATCGTCCACAGGGCGAATTCGGGTTCATGCGTAAATGGTTTTGCTTAGATGCGGAGCGCAAGTTGGTCTGCTTCTTTTGCAGGGATTGTGGTTATGTCAGAACTCCCAGCCCTGATTGGCTCTTGTTGAAAGCATAGTTGGTAGACCTCAAAGCAAGCTGCCTTGAGGTCTACCCACTATTCTTTCAATTGGAGCCAATCAGAGCCCGGCGTTCTGACGTCACCACAACCCCTGCAAAAGGAGCAGACGAATTTTCCCTCCGCGTAATCCGCACGAAATGACTAGATCGCACATAGTGCCTAATCCAAACGAAAGAAATGATCACCAACAGCATATATTGACAAACACCTGCTTCATTAGTTCCCAAAGATGCTGTATCGTACGCAACTAAACAATAATATACTTGGTTGTTCGTAAACTTCTTCACCACTTATCACAGTGAACGACCACAGGAGCCGGCTGTGGTATGTGGCGATCCTGGCGGTTGGTCTTAAAAGTGCCGGTGAAAAGTGCGAGCAAACGCGATTATCACGGTCGTCGCGGCGTCCCAACTCCTGCCTCTCGAAGCTTCCGTGTTTTCTCAAGCTGAAGAGCGACCTGCACCAGAACAGGCGTCCGCCCCATCCACCACCGCTGTTGAGACACCGCCAGGATCGCGGCCGGAGACAGCGTGACACTATGACGTCATAAGGTTCAAAAGGGCTTTTGAATAAGGTTCAAAAGGGCTTACCCAAATGAACCCGAGGTACTCCGGCGGGTCTTGTCACGTGACCACGCCCTTTTGAAAAACGCTGGATGCGGGTAGGTTATAGAACGTCAAGGTACAAAACCCTTACCCTGGAGTAAGATCAAGTAAATTTTGGAACACGGCCATAAAGGGACCAGTTCGTAGGACGCGGTAAAGACGCCGGTCGGAGACGCTTTTCAGCCACCGTACTAAGTAGGCCCGACATCGCAGTTATGGATTTTGTTACGGGTAGTCTTTAATATAAAACACGGTGGCATTTTTTGGGGGGCCACGCTCCTCGATAAAGGTTTGATCCAAGTAGTGTAGGAATACCTAAATTTTTTTTTCCTTCACCCCAAAAGGCAGGCAGAGAAAAAAGTAACCTGGGCGTTGCTCGACAAGAGGCCTCTGCCTCCTCCACCGCAGAAGGGAACTAACGTGAATATACACCGTATGAAATATAATAAATAACAAAAATGCGCACCAAAATATGAAGTAATAGGCAGCTGAAAGTTGTCCAGGTTTTCGGTATTTACAACAAAGGACACCCTCTGGACTGTGGTCATTCTAAGACCACTCACGGAACACCCCATTAAAGGTTTTCGCAGTCGGCGAACCCATGCGCATGAGGAAAATACAGCTGCTTTGCAATAAATGCCAAGCTGAAAAGAGAAGGATTGGGTCTGTACAGGTGGGTTATACGGCAAGGAGGATAGAATGCAGCGACTAATTGTCCCAGACTAATTGTCGCAGAAGACAGATAATCAACGAAAATCTGTTAACTTCTGAGTTAGTAAAATTAACTCACGTCTTTAAATAAGCAACTTACTGAACGTCATCGAAGGCAACTAAATCAGTCAACTTTAGAGGCACTGGCAGCGTGTGGGAAGCGTTGAGGGCGCCAAAGCTACCACTCCTGCAACAGGCGCAATGCTGTCGCTGCGAAAACGTGGATAATAAGAAACGAAAAAAAAAAAAAACCGCGTGTGCGCGTCGTATTTTGAAGCATTTCCAATCATACCCCTCCCTCCCCCCCCCCCCCCCCCCAACAAAAAAAAAAAGAAAAACGCACAAGAAACAGCAACAACAAGAAACAAGAGACACAATCTACGCGTTTCAAATTCTTCGACAATTGACTCATTGGTGATTTTCAGTACCGCTCGGGTAGTTTTTATCGTAAGCTACCAACCAGTTAAATATTTCATCTTAGTTTCCTAAATAATTTGGGCGGATTAGCCACTGATCTCTATGACAATTGCTGGATCGCGTTTGCCCGCTCCGCGAATGCGGCCACTGGCGGCCATCTTTTTGGTAGAGTTATGTTACCTCTAGCCAACGTAAGCTGCTGCAGCCACTATCATCCATCCATGGCACAGCGCTGTGGTAGTTGCGGTGGCAGGCTGCCATCAAAGTAGCGTAGGTGATATTTCGTGCTTGATTGAAATTGTTTGACGAAACATATTTTTGAAATCCTGCGTGAACGATAGCCCGATCTTTGAGGACCCGGTGAAAGTTTCACGAAATCGCAGCACCGGGGAAAAGCAGCACAGCACGCATCGAAAGTCGCATCGAAAGAAGCATCGAAAGCAGACGCCGATACGGAGTCGGCTTTCGATGCGAGCTGCCCTGCTTTCCCCCGGTGCTGCGCTTCGGTAGAACTTTCGCCGGGTCCTCAAAGATGAGGCTACCGTTCACGCCGGGTTTCAAGAATCTGCTTCGTCGGACAACTTCAATCAAGCACGAAATATCACCCATGGTACAGTGTACTAGATCCACGGCTATACACCAACTCATGTTTACAAACAAACCGGAGCGCCCCTAGCAGACGCCATCGGCGCCGCGCATGCGCGGTGGACAGTGGGCAAGAAGCTCGCCGTCGCCCATAAACAAACCATTGAATTGTGTTGTTGTCGGCGTCGGTGTGAGTCCCCGTGCTCGTTTTCGCGTTGGAATTGTTGATTCTACATCCTCCTAACAATGTTTGACTACTTAAGCGACTTCAGCAAAATTAACGAGGCTCGTTACACCGCAAAACTTTGCGCGAATAATGTGACGTGCGGCGATTCATTTCACGTGGACGCCGCAGAATGGGCGCTAAAGCCTGACTCCCACGATGAGATTCATCTCGCTATTTTCAGTCGCGAAGTCGCTCGGGCTGCAAAAGAGTGGACCGTAGCTGAGATGGTGGACGTCGACACTGAAAACCGCAAGTAGAATCGGGCATAACAAGTCGGTGACGGCCACTGGTAACAATGATGAACATATTGTATCTACTGTTTACACTTAGCCTACTTACCCCAACCAGCCTTCAAAAGTGTATTGAGGCCTGCACTTACTTCTTATCACAATTACCGGGTCAACGTTTGGTTTACGGGCCGCTGTCGTTTGAACGAGCTGAAGACAAAAAGCAGACTAATTTGAAAGAGCAGACGACAGTTCAAACGGATGCGCCATGGAGTGCGGGCAACAAGCACCACGTCCCGCGTCAACGAACCATTGGAATATCACGCTGTCGGCGTCTGTGCGAGTCTGCATTCTGTTTTTCGCGTTGGAATTGTCGATTTTACGTACTCAGAGCAATGTCTTACCACTTTAATCGCCTGAGCGAAATTATCAAGGTTCGTTACGCCGCTAAACATAGCGTAAATAATTTGACGTGCGGTGATTCATTCGCATGAACGCCGCAGAATGGACGCCAAAACTATGATGAGATTCTTCTGGCTATTTTCGGTTGCAACGTCGCTCGGGCTGCAAAAGTATAGAAGGTAGCGGCGATGATCGACGTCGATACTGGAAATCGGAAGCGGGAACAGACCAAGCGTAACAAGTCTGTGATGGCCACTGGTACCTATGATCAACATCTTGTATCTACTGTTTACACCGAGCCAACTTAAGTCTTTTGAGCCCTGCAATTACATCTTATTGCAATCACCGGGTCGTAGTTTGGTCTACGGGCCGCTTTTGTTCGAACGAGCAGACGACAAAAAGCAAACAAGTTCGAAAGAGCAGACGATCAGGCAGCCCTGTAAATTTGAAGACGCACTGAACCCGCGGGTGGTCCGGACAACTTGGCAGTTTTGTCTCGTTTATATTGGAACAAAACAAATACATCTGGCGACCAGAAAGTGTTGCCCGCACAAGCAATCGTAGTTCGACAGCGTCTGGTTTGCCCTTGTCACGACTACTATCCACGTTTTCGGACGAACGGAGGGCGCAGAAACACATGAAAACTGATCTTTAAACCTTTCCAGACTCTCTTGGTACAGCCCCCATCGCAGAATTTCTACAAGAAGGCAGGTTTTTTGTCTGGTTTCTCCGAAAAGAACGCGGGAATGCATGTCTCGCACCGCGACTTCTGCCCACCACCCCAGACCGGAAGTGCGACGACGCGCCACCACCGCAGCGTGACGTAGGAGAGTTGAGTTGTTTATATTATGGCAACCTGCCGCCATTGAGCTGTCCGCCATATTACTATAAAGGCTAGAGATAATATAACTCTACCAAAAAGATGGCCGACCGTGGCCGCATTCCTATCCATAGGCGTAGCTGGTCAAACGCGATCCAGCAAGTAGACATAGAGATCAGTGGGATTAGCCGCCTGTTCGCGACTCGAATTATAGGTGGTGCCCCACGTTTTCCAATATGGCGGTTTTAGTGAGGGTCAGGAATGTTTGCCGGTATACCAGTTGCTAAGCCTGTCTACTTCGCCGAGCGACATAACTTATTCCTGCTTATACGAGGAAGAGCGCAGGTCGCCTATTTATCCTGAGAACAAAAACGGTGTTCAGCGTAATATTTATGCTAGGAGGCACGTTGTAATTTTAACGAAACCAAAACTTACGTGTACTTTGGATTCCATTTCTCGGAACCGGTGTTAATTTTGGATTCTTTTATAACTCAAGATATGTGTCACAATGCAATTATTGACCTAAAGAAGTTGTTAAGCGCACCTTTAATTTATGGCATGCATGTCCGATCCAGGCACTTCAAAAAATTTAGGGAATTCAGTGTTCCTTTAAAGACAGACTTTCATACACTTTAGAGCTCACATAGAACGTTGTACGTCTTGAAAATATTTGTCCTGATATTTGTATGCTCTTGCTACTTTTTCTCGCTCAGAGACTTTTGACGTGAAATAATGAACTAATAATGAACTGCGGGCCTTTTAATTGTTTTCGGGCTAATTAGGCGATTAACTGCTTTAAGATTATTCGCGGTACAAAAATGGCATAATGAATACAAATTTTACGAAATATCGTTACGGGTGATGAGTTTACATTATGATCATTAAAACTAGAAATTAAAAAAACGCTGCTATCACTACAAAAGCACGAAGACGGAACCGGAGTCGGATAGCGGAAGTGTATGTGTTTTCAAAGCAATGCGTGCCGCAAAGAGCTTTATATTACATCTACTGTTTGACTGCTTGTCTATCATGATAACGATGTCAGAGTTTTTCATCCGCTAAAAAAAGAACCTTAGTTCATTCCACTTTGAGAACGAGGATGACCAGCAAAGCTGTTTAGCACACGACATAGACGTGACTCAGAATTTTCAACAAAGGTAAACATGTTTATTGTCTTGATCAGTGGTCATCGTGACGAAAGGTGCGCACACACATGACGAGGTCTATCGCCATCCCGAGTTGCACACGCGCGACGCTACCGCCACCCGGCGGATGGAGAAGAAACTGGGCACCCAAGCGCTTGGAACGACGATAAAGACAGGGCGATGCGCTTCCTTCCTCCTCCTCCTTCCCGCTAATTTTCCCGCTAAATTTAGCGGAAAATTTTCTCCCTAAATTTAGCGCGGAAATTTCTCTGCGAAATATGGTGGAAAGCATTTTTCGCTAAACTTGACGGAGAAAATTTAGTTTTTGTTGACACACAAGAAAAAAACCCGGAACCCTAGCCATAAACAGCTTCACTGTAAAATAAATTATGATGCCTTTCTGGAAAGACTATTATGGTTAATTGGCGTATTTTTGTGATCGTGGCGTTTATTGGGATCCTACATTGCCGCAATTCGTAGTAATAATATTACGATAAGGTATTTTAATATGTCATTTTTCAACCTCTGATATAATTTGTTGCTTATCATCTAATTTGAAACGCGCGTCAAGTTTATTGTGCTACCGAAGTTCCGACTTCAGACAATCGAAAAAACTTCTAAAGTCGCCGTCAATCCTTCCGGACCAAATGCCCCCACACCAGATATTCTTTTTAATAATCAATTTTCCGTGAACATTTCGTTGCTTTAGTTTTTACCCGCCGTCGGTTTGCCAATCTCACACTTTCCAGTTCAGAAGAACGCCAACCCACTTCCCCGTCTGATCACTGCAACAAGTTTCGTTGGCGTTGGAAACCAGTGAAGCAGCAGTGAGTTGTTAGTATTGCATATACGAGCAAGCACAGGCACTGTGTGTTTGCGTTAACGTTGCGTGTTCCACACTAGGCGTGCGCGGTACACAAAATTGTGGTCTTGGCTCAGAGCATGGCGTTGACACGCATGCGCAGCGTGGAGCATGGAACTCTAACGCAAACGCACAACGCTTGCTTCTATACGCAATACTAAAATTCTCTATAAGGTACAATCCCACACCGGCGGCAACACTATTTCGGGAGAGTGAAGACTCCTTGTTTACAGTCGGAGATCGCATATCGCGAGCCATGATTGTGAGCAGTTCAGCCGTGCCCGCTGAGCAGGAGAACCGGGGGACCTTCTTCCTGTTTCCGCCCCGGGAGGGCGAGCAACGAGCTGGAGATGCGATATTATTTTCTCCGGTTGTTAAACTCACCTGCACAAAACGCATCAAAGGGGCACTAATGTGCGTTTTGAGATCGTCGTTTTATGGTCATAACTCAATCTACGAGCTCTAACCAACCTAAAACCCCAAAAACATATACATGCGCGGCCGATGTGCGTATTAAAAAAATGACCAAAGATCCTGACACTTATCGTTGGTGGAGAACGACAGATGGCGCTACTGAACCCGAGACCTAGAAGTAAGAAATGCCTTCGAGAAAGACGGCCTACATTATGGGCCCCTTAGCAGTACAAACAGTGATCCACCGACTGGGGAGTGTGACAAGCCGTTTTTTGGGACTCTTGCGTCGACTGGGACCCAGAAAAGAACGAACAATAGAGACGAGGCATCACGACAGCCAGGCCCAAGCGCCACGTGTGCCGAAATGGAACTACCAACATCGAGAATTTGTTCGTGGAACACCCCGCGTCCAGTGGCTCAACAAGGGACCAGTCAGGATGATAGAGGAATCCGGACACAGACAAGCACCGTAGGGGATCGGGCCAGAACTTTCTTCAGAATACATGAAAGAGTATCCACCGTTAGCTTGTCTGGAGATGCGGACACCTCCCGCAGTTACAACATGGACGGGACACCAGCAAGACCGAGTCTCCACAATGCAACCAAGCAGAGTAGCCCAGCACCGATACAGCTTACTTGCTGCGTGAAACAGCCCACCAAACAACCTGTTGGCCGGGGATGCCCGACACTCCTCAGCAGCTCCTCATTTGCCGCACCCGGGAGCACCCGACCAGGCCGACATATTTTCCACAGTTGCAAACCAATATCAACAGAACTGGGTTGCCGGAGACGTTCTTCGCCACCCTCCTGCGTCCCCTACGCTGCAGCTGATAGACCGCGTGGTGGGCCAACAGATCGAGGCTCAATAGTGTCGGAAGTTATAGGAAAAAGAGGAGCCGGTGCGCCTGATGTAGTTGATCACGTCTAAGCTCCGAATCGCACGAGATCAAAAGTACAGCGCCGGAAGCAGACAAGCTTTGTGGTAGGCTTCTTAAATATGAATGGCGCAAGACGTCAGCGAAAGTGGCATGAATTATGTACGGCCCTGCACATGCAACGCGTGTCCATTGCAGGCTCTCATTTCAAAGAGAATGCGCCACAAAATACATACACACACATACATACCTATGAATATCCAAGGAAGGGGTGGTAGAACGAGCACGTAGATTGAGTTATGACCATCAAACGAGGATTTAAAAACCCACTTTAATTCCCCTTAAAGGTACCCTTCTCGCATTTTATTTTAACCTCTCCAGCGTCAGGCAAGGCACCCTGTATAGTGATTTCGCTCACTTCCTAGGAAAGGCGCGTTTTTTTTCTCGTTTTTTTTTTTTAACTTCCATATGTTTTTTTTATATCAAATTTATGCTGGCGTTAACGTTTTTGTTTTTAGGCGTCGGCTCTCTCAATGGTAAAGCCTGGCAGGAAAACCGCCGCTACTGCGTGAAGTCTCTACGAGAATTGAGCTCTGGGAAGAAATCTATGCTGGAGCATGTTAGGGTAAGTACTCTTCCAGCTTAGTTCCCTGGAAGCTTTCAGAAAATCGCACAAGGCCCCTCGTCGACCCCACACCGCATTGCGTGGCGCGGGGAACTGTGGGGCCAAGTCGATGCTTCGTACACCCTGAAAGCGGCGCAATTTATTCTTCCTTACCACTCAGAATTCAAAACAAAATGAAAAGAGCACTTTCAGAAAAATAAAGTGCATTCTTACACCCCTTGTCTCTTATAAGACACCCCAAAAATTCCAGTTTGACTTACAGCGAGCTGACGTCAAACCGACGGTACAAACTTTCATGAGAAGCTTGATAGCCGTGTGGTAAAACTTGTTAAAATAGCTAATGAACGTGTTACTGACAAAGAAAAAACACAAAAAAATTGAGTTTTCTTTGCTCTACTGCAAAACCTCATTCTTTTCTTTCTGTGCTGTTTTATACGTACTTTAGCGGTTTAATAAGTTATATCGCACCGCTATCAAGCCCCTCGTAAAATTGGGGCCGTCTGTTCGACTATAATATGCTGTCCGTCGAACTGAAGTATTGGGGGTGCAATATATAGGACAAAAGGGTATAAAACGACATCCTTTATTTTTAGAGTGAGAGCAAACATATCACAAGGCCGATAGGTACTCTGTTTTGTTATCACCCCTCTTTCTTTGCATTCTGAAATTGCAAAATGATAAGCTAGCATGCACCACTCCTTCTATTCAGGGGTACCCTTTCGCATGTTATACATCGGATTGCCGCTGTGTGTCTCCGGCGGGAGGCGCTGCGCATATTCAAATTATTTGTAGTCTATCTGTGGTAGCGGAGGTATTCGCCCATAATTAAAGCGAGCAGCCTCTGATATCATTTGAACGTCTTTTAGCTTTTCTCAAAACTACAGGTATCTTACAGAAACTGTAGTCAAGTTTTAGTCTAGTCTGAGTACTTTGACCAATGTATTTTTTTTTAACTTGCCTAGTATGGCGCAGTATGGCCATCGGAGCTCTTGCGCCATAAAATCCGCAAACAACAACAGCAACGCCCATATTAAAGCGACGCATTGCGGGAAGGAAATCACCTTCCGGCCGTCATTGCCATTATCAAAGCCGCGATTTGCGGCAGATGTTGTTTTCGGTTAGCTGCGCCGTGGTGGGCTAAAGACAAGCAGATTACTAATGTAGCTAGCTCGCTTAAATGAACAATTATTTCGCATCTAACGCTAAACGGCGACAGCGAAAAACAAAAACAAAAACAAAACAAATGTTGGTCGCCGGTCTACATCGACGAACTCAGTTGCATTCGTTTTCCCGAGCGACCAGCTCCTGACAGATGACCGCGCATCCTTTTGGTAGCTGGCCTTTACGTCAATACCTCACAAGTTTGCCATCGAAGGGAAGGACGACGTCTAGATATCGCAATATGCGCACGTTCAAAATCGAGGCGCACTTTAAAAAGCCCGGTCATAACATAATGGTTTTCTTTTATTTTCATTGATCCAAAACAGACGTTCTACTCTTGTGCATTGAAGGAAATGGTCAGGAACATGTCAAATGTTTGTTTGCCTTGGCTGTGCTGTTCTTTTGTTAACAAACTCTTAAATTCGGACAACGATCGCTCCACTTCCATGGAGACAAGCGGCAAAAACCTGCGAGCGACCTGCGAAGTTTGTCTTTCGCAGAGCGAGCCAACAACCACGCGCCAGCGGAGCGCGCACGGAAACAGCGGCGCGTCGCCGGAAGCCATGGCAGACCAACAGAACGATATCACTAAGCGTACCCCCGCAGGGGGCACCTGTGAAAGCAGGTGTTTGGAGAGTGGCGTCTCCACGGACCCTGAGCCCCGCAGGGGGCGCCTGCACCTTAGGTGCTAGGTGCTTGGTGAGTAGCGTCACCACGGACCCCAGCCACGGCTACATAACGGACCCTGAGTAACAAGTGGGTAAGACCCACCCACGTCTGGCTGTGCGTGGCGAGCCCGTGTCCAGGCAAAAGGGCATCCTGGTGGTTGAGCTGAGCCCGGGGTAGGTTTGGACCCTTCGGGGTCCCCCGGGCGAGGCAACACACCACTTTGGCCCCTGCTTCCTGTAGACGGGAGTCCTGGTAAGGCCCGGCCAGGATGATTCAGTCTAGTCGCCTTTTCTTCTACTATCCCCTCCAATCTTTTACCTTTACCTTTCCTGCTTCCTTTATTTCTCTCTCATTTCTCTTCCTCCTTTTTCACCCCTCTTTGGCGGCAAGGGCTAACCTTGGGTGGCAATAGACCTCTGTCTTGACCCACACTTGGGTATAGTTTCCCGGCAGCACTGTTAGCGTAACGTCTCCAGCCAAGCCCTTCTTGTTATGGTGCGTTACCTAACCCCTTGTTGGGCTCGGTGGTGGGTGGTGCACCGCGGATTCTGAACATTCTTTGCCCCTCTTATGGCACCCCTCTGTTCTAAAACCTCTGATCGGCCCCTGAAAAGGGGTCGGACCGAAGTAAAACTGAATGATAGGTCTTCACCGGTACAGAACACTTTTATCCGATTCCTTGTTATGCACTCTGAACAAGACGAAAAACCTCTTGCGAAGTTGTCACCTTTTCTGATCGCAAAAACCCTAGAAACCCTTGTAGGCAAAAACTTCAATGCAAAGAAGCTAGTATCTGGTGACTTGCTTGTTGAAGTGGAAACTGGCACACAGAGTGCTGCCCTCCTGGACCTAAACAAGATTTCTGAGTATAGAGTCTCCGTCACTCCACATCGAACACTAAATAATTGCCAAGGAGTAATTTCCGAGGATGATTTGCTAGAGTCAAGTAACGAGGAGATTTTGGAAGGTCTTTCCAGTCAAGGAGTAACGGCAGTACGACGAATCCTGCTTCGTAAAGACGGACACGAGCGACCAACAAAACATATTGTACTTACATTCTCTTCCACTGTGCTGCCTCAAAGTGTCAAGGCGGGCTACCTCCACTGTAAGGTGCGCCCATACGTCCCGAACCCGAGACGCTGCTTCAAGTGTCAACGGTTTGGTCATGGCTCTGCCACCTGCCGCGGAAAAACAACCTGCGCAAAGTGTGCATGCACAGACCACCCAAAGGGCTCAACTGCACTGGTTCCCATCCTGCTTACTCGCGATCGTGTCCAAAGTTTAAAGAGGAGAAAGAAATTTTAACCTTAAAAACAAAGGAAAACTTGAGCTACCATGAGGCACGAAAACGCTTTTCGTTCCTTCAAGGAGGAACATACGCCGAGGCGGCCGTCAGGGGGACTAGGTCGCTGTCAAAGGCATCAGTGGGTGCCCAGTATAGTCTTCGAGACACTGAGTGCGCACCCAGTCCCCTCACCCCTACAGAGACTTCTGTGGGATCTCAGACGCCTGGGGCCCCACAGAAGCTCACGAAGTCCAAGGCGTTTCCGCAACGCCTGGCCCCGAAGGTTCGGGTGGTGCTTGACCCCACCCGTTCCCAAGTCCGAAAGGGATCCCCTCCTTCCTCTGCACAGGGGGTGGAGGAGGCCATGGAGGTCAATGTCCCATCCACCGAGGGTAGCATGGAAACTGCCACCCCTGTGCCTTCATGCTCGAAGGCAGGCAATGTTTCCTCTGCACCCCAAAAAAAATCGGCGCAGGCATCCCAAATGCCTGCCGGCTCGTCAGGCAGAGGCCGGGCACAGCCCACTCGCCTGACCGACAATGCGAGAAAGCCGGGTCACTCTGACGAGGCAGTCTCGTTGAGGGGCCCAGAGGTATCAACGGAAGAGAAAATGGAAGAGGCCGGTCTAGCTTCAGATGACGACTTGCTTCCTTCGGGAGCGGAGTCCTTGTCGTCTTCCGCGGGTGAGCCCGCAGAACGACAGAAAGACAATGCTAGAAAGAAAAGAAATATTCCACGGATTTTAGCTCCGAAAGAAAATTAGCTGAACTATATATAGGTATCTTTTTAACTTTTTTATACGTTTTAGGGGATTTCACTAAAAGGCAGCAACACCGATATTTTTATGCACTTTTGCCCACAACTTTTTATCGATTTTAAATAATTTTTATGGGTCATCTTTCTTTTATGCAATGGAACTGTCGAGGTCTCCTACGCAACATTGATGACATTAGTTTTTTTCTTAGTGAGCTACGACCGATAGCTCTGGCTTTGCAGGAGACTCGTTTGAATTTCAATCATACAAATGTTTTACGGTCCTATCACACTTTTCGTAAAGACCGCCCATCATCTCATTCAGCCGGTGGTGTGGCAGTTGTTGTGCGGAGAGGGGTGGCATGTGCCGAGGTGCCCCTGGACACTCCGCTCGAGGCAGTGGCTGTGAGGGTTCTGATCGACCGGTTAATCACCGTTGTTTCCTTGCACCTTCCGCCACAGATCACAGTGCACATGCGTGAACTTCAAAAGCTCATTGCCCAACTACCACAACCCTTTTAATATTAGGCGATTTTAATGCTCATCACACCATGTGGGGCAGTGCACGAGTTGACTCACGTGGAGAACTCATAGAACGACTTTTATTGTCATCGAATCTTTGTCTTTTAAACACGAAATCTCCAACCTTTTTTAGTGATGCTCATAACTCCTTCACCTGCATCGATTTATCTTTATCATCGCCCTCTCTGCTTCCTTGTTTTTCCTAGAAGGTTTTAGAAAACCCATTCGGGAGCGACCACTTCCCGATTGTCGTAGAGAGCCTAGCTGCTGTTAGTACGCTTTTAGAATGTACGCCGAGATGGCGCCTTGACAAAGCGGATTGGGAACTCTTTTGCTCATCTGCAACATTTGATATTTCTTTATTATCAGTCTTGTCTCCAGATGATGCTACAGCCTATGTTACTAAAAAGATAATTGAGGCTGCAGAACAATCTATTCCTCGCACCTCTGGGAAATTACCAAAAAAGTGCAGGCCCTGGTGGACTGAAGAATGTTCCACGACAATGAAGAAACAAGACAAAGCTTGGGGCATATTTCGACGGTACCCCACTGTAAATAACAAGATTGAATTTAAAAGGCGAAAAGCTCAAGCCCGCTGGACTAGAAGGCA